CGGGGGACGACTGTGCCCCCTTTGCCCCCAGGGCAGGGAGGAGTTACCCCCCGGGCTGCACCCCCTGTGGGGCTGGGGTTCCCTGTGGGATGCACGGCGTCCCCAGGGGGTGATGGGGGCCATGCTGCACCCGCAATGAGCAGGCGACAGGGATCCCCAGTGGACCGGGCCTGCATCCAGCAGGGACTATCCAGGGCCTGTGCTTGGTCCCAAAGGGCTTGATGTTGGGGTTCCTGCTCAAGCCTCAGGATGTGGGGTGAATCCTGAGCTGGGACTTGCCAGCTGTGGGGTGATTTCTCCCCTGTGTGCTCAGGCTGGATTCCCTGGGTTGGATGAACTCCACATCTCGGTGCCCCCAGCTACAGCAGTGCAAGAGACATCCAGGCGGAGCTGAGGAGCAGTGGCAGCTGTGTCACTGTCCCCACAGGCAGGAGAGCCCTTCAGGGTGCAAAATGGAGGCATTGCCACTGGGGACAGGCCCTGCAGGTAGCAGGTGCTAATACTGATGTCTCCAGTCTGATGGGGCAGGGACTCAGAGGTCAGGTCTTGGTATGGACGTGGGGATGCTGCTGCCACAGTACCCTGGCTTATTCCCCTAACCCAGGCCCACAGGGCCTCCTTGTACTGTCTGTGGAGCAGTGGTTTCACCTCACAGCACACAGGGCTGTGGAGGCAGACCTGGGCCCACAGAGGTGTTGACAGCCGTGGTGATAAATGCGGTCAGACAGGCTGGGGCTGGGTGTAGTCGGAGCTGCACCATGGGGGCGAGCACTGTGGGGATGGTGCCTGCTGAAGCTGCACTGTGGCTGTGTGGCTGCCTGTGCCTGCGGCTAGCTGGCTGGTAGGAGCCAGAAGCTCAGAGCTTGGGATCTGTCTCCTTCAAAGCCTCTTTTCTCCCAGCAGTGGAGAGTCCTGCATTGGGCTGGCCTTGTGTCCCTGGTGTGCAGCCCTCGGTGTTCTCTGGGGCTGGGGGAACACAATGAGGCTGTACCCCGGCTGTGGGTGTCTCATTCCCAGCCCTAACCTTGCAGCTTATCCCAGGGTCATCCCTGCAGGTGGGCTCTCAAGGACCTTGGTGTGCATGCGTGCCCTCCTCTCCTGGTGGAGCACGCTGCAGTGTTTCTGTGGGCTCTGCCCCTGGCAGGGTTGCCTTCCTGCTGCAGTCCTGCACTGCTGGGCGCTTGGCCGACAGCTGCGGGGTCACCGGTCTGTGTCCATCGGCAGCCTCTGCCTGGCCACTTGTGGGTTGGGGTTGGTCCAGTTGTCTCTCCTCAGTCAAAGCACCTGCCTGTGTCCAGCCTGGTGTGTGGAACAGTTTTCCTAATCTTCAGATAAGATAAAACACCAGTGAAAACACCATAAAGACATCAATGGCTGGAGAGGCTTGTGTGGGAGAGAGGGAGGTGCTGGCTGAATCCCACCAAGGACAGGAGATCACAGGGCCTGGCCCCCTTGTGTGGAGCTGTTGTGGATGGGTCTGCTGGGCTGGGAACGACACAGCCACATCCTTCAGGAACTGACTTGCTTTTTTTTTTTCCCATAAGCACCAGCCCCTTTGAGATCAGCTGCAGCTGCCATGGTTGTGTTTCTCTTTCTCTCTCCCTTTTTCTCTAGCTGGTTTCCAGAATGGAGGAGCCACTGTCAATGGAGATGTCTTTCAGGTGAGAATTCAGCCCCTTGCTCTGGCCCAAGGGTACTATGTGGGATTAGGTGGGTACGGGGCCTGCACTTCATTGCTCAGCCCCAGGATTGACTGGAGTTTGCTGTCCAGCCCTAGTAACAGCTGTGGTGCTCCTGGAAAGGTCTGGGTCTCAGTGGAGGGAGTCTGGGCTGCTTCATTCTCTTTGAGGAGAAAATTAGTCCTGCCATGACCAGCCCCAAATCTGTTTGCAGGTGACCTGTGCCCCAAGGGAGTGCCAGGGCCCTGAGAACAGATGACAAATTCTCCTTTCTCCACAGAAGCCCCCTCTCTCCAGCCTGGGTGGCTCCTGGAGGCCTCTGGGCCAGTCAGGAGCATCTCTTGGCAGGAGTCAGAGCCAGGACAGGGCTGCCATGGGACACTCGCTTCGCTGTGGCCTTGCTGCCGAGTCCTGGCAGCATCTGCCATTAAACCCACTTGCCCCATGGCCAAAGCTGTTCTGTGGTGCCTACCCGTCTGGGTCTCAGCTCCTTCTGTGAGTCCCAAGCCCAGCTCTGCTGGCTACAGGAAACAGCATCTGACAAGCCCTTCACCCCACTCAGCACGCAGCACAGTGGCATGTGTGTTGCCCGTGCCGAGTTTACTGAGTGATAATCACATTAGAGACGAGACAGACTTGATTAGATTGGGGATCTCGGAGGAGAGCCTTAATCCCCTGGCTGAGCTGGGTGTCGAGCCGGGCGTCCTGGCCAGCGGAAGGTGTTAGGAGTGGTGCTGGGCCTGGCGGAGCCGTGCAGGCAGCTCCGCTCGGAGGAGCGAGGGAGCCTCTTGCTATGGGCTGGTGCCCAGGCAGAGAGCGGTACCACCCTCGGGCCCTGCCTTGTGCCTGGGCTCTCCCTGTCTGTTGTGGCCAAGCCTGGAATGGAGCTCAGTCCTGGGGCTGCTGGTGGCTGTCCCCTGCTGTGGGGCTGCCCAGAGAACGCGAGAGCTGCGTTTGCAGTGAGCAGCAAGTCAAGGGGAACGTTGGGGCGTCTTTGTGGGTGACACATCCTGGGACTGGAGCTGGGACAGCAGCTTGAGCTGCACTCTGGGGACACTGTCCCAGGCTGTCACTCTCTCTCCTCGGCTTGTCTGAGTGCTGGGTGTGTGGAGTCCTGTCCTGCTGCCAGCGCTTTAGGGTGGGAAGAGCTGGTGCTGATGGTGAGGTCCTCGTGTCCTGCAGGAGTCCAATGGCCCCACGGATGCCTATGCAGCCATCGCCAAGGCCGACCGTCTGACCCAGGAACCTGAGAGCATCCGCAAGTGGAGGGAGGAGCAGAAGAAGCGCCTGGAGGAGCTGGGTGAGACCCAAGGCTGTGTGTAGCCACGCTCGTGGCACCTCACGATGTGGCAGTCAGGGCCCTTTGGGTCCCTCACTGGTGGTGCCCCTGTGGCATCCCAGAGAGGTGTCTCGTGGCCCATTCCACCTGGGTGCTCCTGTCAAAGATCTGCAGTGCTCTAGTGGAGATGGGGGACACGCCTGGGGGGCTGCCCAGCAGAGCCAGTGGGTGCCAGTCTGGCTGACGGGGTCTGTTTTGCTCTGGCCTTAGATGCGGCATCGAAGTTTTTTGCGTGAGAAGGCCAAGAAGGACCTGGAGGAGTGGAACCTGCGCCAGAATGAGCAGATGGAGAAGAACCGGGCAAACAACAGGTATGGCAGGGTCAGCATGGCCATGGGGGCTGTGATGGGAGCTGCTGTGTAGCCAGATCTGCCTTTCTGGGATGTCTGGGGGCCTCTGCCCCCACAGTGGGGCCCAGCCCTGCGGGGACAAAGCTTTGCCAGGCAAGGGGAGAGGCCTCAGGGCTTTGGGCAGCTCTGGTGGCTGTGCAGAGCCGCCCTGGCTGGGACCACCCTGGGATCCCCCTGGGATTTCAGTGCCTCCTGACCCTGCATGGGCCTCGCATCAGGGCAGGGTTGGGGCACTGTCTGTGCAGCCCTGCCGTGGCTGGCAGGTTTTCCTGGTGCCACGTACGCTGTGATGAGTGGGTCACGCTCTGTGGGAGGACGCTAACCCCCTCTCTGTTTCTCTCTTTCTAACCCTCTGCCTGCCTGTCTGCTCTGCGCTCTCTCTCTGTCTGTGCCTCGGGGCTAGGATCGCTGACAAAGCCTTTTACCAGCAGCCGGACGCCGATGTGATTGGCTATGTGTATGTGCCTCTTACAGACCTTATCCTGCCCCGCAGGGCATGGGGTCCTGGCCTCAGCGCTGGCTGCCCAGCCAAGGGAAGAGGGGGTGGTGGGAGGTGCTGGGCCCTGGTGAGATCTCAGAGGGAGGATGGTGCAGCTGAGCATCTCCAAATGGTGGAGTCTTAGGAGGCAAGTGGAGCTTCTTGAGATGCCCCTGTTTGAGCTGGTTGAAGAGGCAAAGCTGTGGGGTTTTGTGCCTTTTGGGGTACAGCTCTGGGGGTGGAGAAGTCTTGGGAACAGGCAGATACTCCCATGCCCCTGGATGAACGATATCTTGGGTGAGTGCAGCCAACAGCAGCCTTGAGCACTGTGTGTCTCTGGATCCTGGAGGGTGCTGAGCTCATTGGCTGGAGCACGAGGACAGGAAGGGGGGACGTGAGGGGTTCTCAGACAGGGAAGGGTCTCCTTGGAAAGGGTTCTGCCAGTGACGACCCTCAACTTCTCTGCAGGGCCTCAGAGGAAGCATTCCTGAAGGAGTCCAAGGAGGAAACCCCAGGCTCCGAATGGGAAAAGGTGGCCCAGCTTTGTGATTTCAACCCCAAGAGCAGCAAGCAGAGCAAGGATGTGTCGCGGATGCGCTCGGTGCTCATCTCTCTCAAACAGACGCCCCTGTCCCGCTAGCTGCTGCCTGGCACAGCCGGGAGCGCAGCAGGGCAAGGCTGGGCTCACCGAGCCGGGCGGCTTCACGGAGCCAGCCCAGGAGGGCCCTCCCTGGTGCGTGCCTCGGCTGGGCTCGAGTCACTGGTTGTAACTTTCCCCATGGTTTTCCTTTGCTTAAAAGGTGCATCGGTCTCTTTTTACACTTATTTATTACTGTGGCATTTCCCCAGGAAGCGGCACTGGGTGGCAGAGCTGAGTTAGTGGGGAGCCCCCGGCCTGGGCTGTGCAGGAGGTTGTGCCCTGGGGCCTGGCTGAGTGAGGGAGGGAACACCCCACCCCGTGTTCCCCACCTCACCCTGTGCTGGGCATAAACCTGTGGCTGTGCTGGCACCAGGCCGCTGCAGATACTGCAGCCCCATGTCGGCCTGGGTCCTAGCCCCGAGGCAGTGATCCTGGTGGGACCCCGGGCTCCCAGCTGCCTTTCTGCTGGGGTTCAGAGCAGAGCTGGTGCGGGGCTGGGAGTGTGGAGGAACAGCCCTGACTCACCTCTGCAGGGAGCACGGCTGCAGTGCGATGCCGCTGGGCTAACGGGGACTGAGGAACACGAGTGCAGGCACCCAGGCTGGGCCGGGTCTGCCAACGGTTGCCTCAAGCCCAGCAGACCGCTCCCCAGCCTGGCTGTGCACCCTGAAAATCTGGTGGGGCTCTGAGCAGCAAGTTGCAGTGTCTGTGTCCCATCTGTCCTGTGAGGCTGCTGGTGTCAGGCAGCACAGGGGTGAAAGGGCCGTGGGGTGAGCGTGCAGGATGTTTTCTGTCCCTCCTGCAAAACCACCAGCAGTTGGGAATGCGGGTGCCAGGCTTTGGGGCCCCTTGGCTCTGCTCCTTCCCCTGCTGCTAGGATGGGAGATGGAGGGTGTGTGGTTGCAGGGAAGGAGGCAGGAAGGTCCAGCTGCTGTGGGGCAGGTCGAGCCCCCAGCTCCCTGACCCAGGGGCCCAGAGCAGGATTGGGCAGAGCTGTGGTGCTGGGGCTTGTGCTGTCCCTGCAGAACAACCCGCACATCTGCCTGCAGCTGCTCTGTGGCTCCTCTCTGGCCCCTGCTGGATTTGCACACCTAAGGCAATGTGGTGAGATGCCTCAGTCCTGCTCCCCGCCCAAGGCACATGCTTTACAGCCCAAACGCTGGCTTTCTCTCCTCTGCTTGGCAGGGCCGGCACCAGCCCCTCCGGCTCAAAGGCCCAGTCCCGACAATCTGCAAAATGCCCGTGTAGCAGGAGAGGGGCAGAGCTGTGCACACCCTGCTGCGTGGCAGCCTGGAGCTTGTGCCCCACACCTGACCCTCTGGGGGCTTGGGAAGGGCTTGCAGCAGCAGTTTGGGGGTCAGGGAGCACGGCCCACAAGACATTTGCTTGGGCCTCACTGCAGAGCCCTGCTCAGCCTAACAGCGAGCGCGCAGAGCTGTCCTGCCCCGCAGCTATGGCTCCGTGAGTGAGGAAAGTCACCTGCCCTGCTGCAGCCCTCGTGGGGTGAGCAGGCACCCCTGGCTCTGGGGCGCAGGCTCAGCAGCGGGCTGGGAAGGCAGTGGGTGTGTAGAGAGTCACTCGGTGTTGTGTGCTGGGATTGTGCCCCCGTGTCCATAGAGCTGATGGCTCCTACTCTGTCCCCCTGCACTCCAGCATGCATAGGCAGCTCTGCTGCAGTGGGGGATGGCCGCCGACGCAGGA